CTCTTGCTTGTCTAGCCTTATATATATCTGTACTCCTGCATGTGAACTGGCCTTGTGGCCTTGTATTTGTGCTCGGAATGTGTGGTGACTTTGTGATCCACCCTGAGCTTTGCTTTGTTTTGCTTTGCTTGATTGGTCTTGTGACCCCCTGTTCTCCCCCACTTTACCTATGGGGGTGTGTCAGAACATTATAGCTTATGCTTTTGTGTAGGCTGTAGTGGGGTATCCCATAGGGGGTACAACCCAATTAGGGTTAGTACTTGTACCCACTTCATTCATAGTTCATTCCATTCTTGTTTCAGATTTCTCAAGGGCCTGCTTGTGGCCACTTGCTTGTGCTCAGAATGCGTGGTGACTTTGTGATCCACCCTGAGCTGTGTTCTCTTCTGCAGACTAGTCTTGTGACCACTTGTTGTGTTTGCTGTCCCCTACTTTGCCTATGGGGGTGTGTCAGATTACAATTGTATCTCTAGACTACAGTAGGGTCACTCCTTAGTGAGTACAACACTTTAGGGTTAAGTTTCCCCTACTTGTTCTCACCTCTTGCCTAGTTCAATCATTCATTCCTAGTTCTATATTCTTGACAAATGCATCATGGGAAACCAGAAATTCAAGTTCATTTAATCAGTCAAGGCGGATTCCTGGCTTTGGGACTTCCAATTTTTTTGTTTCCCAACTCGGGGGATTTCCAATTCGAATTCGGGTCTTCCGATTCGGGAACCCACGATGGTCGCAAGGGCATCCAGCGAAGGGTAAGCGAAATCAAGTTTACCCCCAACGATGACTCAGGATGGGAACGTGCGATCAGTTGGGGTCGCCTCGCCTGTCAAATGATCGTCAATTTTCTCACGGAATTGACGTGGATGCACTCCCGTGGAACACGCTCGACTCACACAACTCGACATTGACTGTTGACTGTCAATGTTGTGGAAGTGTGGCCGACAGGGCTTACTTTATCAGAAATTATGTGTCTGAATTTTTGGAATTTGAACACCTTTTTACTGGTTCGTCTGATGTCGTAGACAATCTATTTTATGTCATCTGATTTGTAAGAGAAACCTTTTTTATTCGTCTGATTTGTCAGACAGCCCAGTGGTCCTCACTGGGCACGCGGACGCTTCTTGGGCTGACAACCAGGCTACGCAGTGGTCGTCACAGGGTTACACCTTCAGCCTTGGTTCCGGCTCTGTTTCGTGGCGTGCTACTCGCTCGTCTTATGTTCTCGGCTCCAGTTGTGAGGCCGAGATCTACGCCGGGGCCATGGCTGCTCAGGAGCTTTGCTGGCTCACCTACCTGCTGACCGACCTTGGAGAGCCGCCTCGTTCTCCTCCAGTTCTGTACGTAGACAACAAGGCCATGCTGGCCTTGTGTCGAGAGCAGAGACTGGAGCACAGAACAAAGCACATTGGTCTTCGCTACTTCCTTGCTCGTGAGCTACAGCAGCGTGGTCAGTTGCGGCTTGCGTACGTGGCCTCTGAGCCCAACACTGCTGATGTTTTCATCAAGGCACTTGCGCCTTGTGATCATCAGCGCTTCTGTACTCAGCTTGGTCTTGTGCCTGTCTTGCCTCACTTGCTCACTTCTTGACCTTGCTTGTACTGTCACATATATATACTCCTGCTCTTGCTTGCTAAGCCTCTTATATATATATATATATATATATATATATGTATATGTGCTCGTGCATGTGAGCTGGCCTTCTGGCCTTGAACTTGTGCTCGGAATGTGTGGTGACTTTGTGATCCACCCTGAGCTTTGCTTTGCTTTGCTTGACTGGTCTTGTGACCCCTTGTTCTCCCCCACTTTGCCTATGGGGGTGTGTCAAATCATAATGTTGTCTAGGCTTAAGTGGGGTAGCCCATATGGGGTACACATTTCTAGGGTTGCATATTTGTATCACTTTCATTCCATAGTCATTCATTCTCGTTCTAATTTTCTCAGGTGTGTAGTTTTACCGAGATGGCAGTAGACCCCCGCACAGAGGCCCCTCCAGCATCCACTCTGCATGCTTCACCTCCTTCCACTGCGTTGCCCCGCCCACGCACTGGCTTGGATTTCCTTACGGGGGGGGGTTTTCACCCCTACTCCTGTCCCAGCTGCTGCTGTTGCTCCTTCGGCCTGTCAGAATGAGAAACTCGATTCTGCCGAGTAGCCGTACCCTTTCGCTGAGATGGATGCCGAGCCGCTCATACCATTTTCACCCGTGCGATCACCAACCACATCAAGCCACCATGGGGGTTCGCCATCCGGTCAACCTGTCGCATCATCTGTTCCTGCTAGAAAAAATCCCTTCCGATCCCGCTCCCCGTTTCTCTCGCCGCGGTTTACTGGCAAGACCAAATTTGTGCAAAATAAGCTTCCGTTTTCGAAACGCCCAAGCCCTTCCTCTGCAGGGAATCCCACAACTGAGGAAGATGGAGGGGAGCGCTGCGGAGCCGAGAATGCCGTACCGAAGATTCTGTCGCTAGAGGAGCTGCAGCTAAAAGCCAAGCAGCAGTGGAGCCGCCACTTCCCTTGGCTCATCATTGGTGACACCGCCGAAGGTCGACCTTGCATGAGGTGCAAGATCTGCATGGTGTACGCAAATCGTGAGTCACAGTACGGCGCTCGGGGCGAGGGAGGCATCAACATACAGAAGCAGACGATGAGGAAGCATCGGTGGAGCATCCGTCACCGGGAGGCGAAGGACTGATTAGAGCAGCGTGAAGCCCCACAGAAGAAGCAGGCATCTATCTCCAACTTTGGAGATAAGAGTGCGGAAACTCGGCGTTTGATACAGCTGTTTCTCACCATGCGTTTCCTTTGCAAATCCGACAGCCCCATTGTCATGTTCATGACACTCGTGCAGTTCATGGCAGAGATGGGGATGCCAGATATGCCGGCCAAGGACCAAGGGACTTATTGTTCAACGTGAGCTTATATGTTCACATCATTGTGGTTTCTGAATACCCCTTACTTACCATTTTTTTTGTGTCCTCGTTGACGCAGGTATGGTTTCAAGGAGTTGGTCGAAACGCTGGTGTGCTACTTGAAGGCGAAGCAGATGCAGCACATCAGCATCTCTCTCTTCGTTGGCCTCCAACTTGATGAAAGTACCGACCGAAGGCGTGGCAAACACATGATTGTGTATGCCACGTTTCTCCGTGGCACGGTGGTGGTTACCGAGATCTTCGCGAACTTGTCCGTTGAGAAGTGCGACGCCGGGTCGCTTGAGGCGGTCCTGTTGACACACCTTGCTGCTTGCGGCCTCGAACTAACAAGGATCAGCGGCATGACCATGGACGGCGCGAGCGTGATGACGGGCGGTCAGACAGGCTTGGTGGCGCGCTTACAAACGCGGGTGCCGCATATTGTGCCGTGCCACTGCGTGGCCCACAGGTAGTGTGTTGTTTTTACTGTTGTGATGTATCTGACACTTGCTGTCCTCCGACTAATCCTACTCGTGTTATAATTGCAGGGAGGCTCTGGCTGCTAAGGATGCTGCTAAAGAATTTCCCGAGTTCAATGTCGTCAACAAAGTCGTCCGGTCTTTCGCGGACATTCTCGACCGTAGCATAGTGCAGCATGCGCGATTCAAGAAGCTGCAAGAGGTCATCACAAAGACCAACCTGGAGATGCAAGGCATTAAGGACGTCCGCAAGCTGTCGCGCGGGGACGCCATCCAGTGCTTTGCAGACGTCCCGCCTACTGCCGCTATCCTGCTGCATGAGTACGACAAGACAACGTACACTCTTGTTACCAGTCTGAAGTTTCAGTTTTTCCTCTTCTTTTTGGTTGACGTGCTTCAGGAGCTGAACAGCCTGAATCTCAAGTTCCATCGACGACAGGTAAGGACGTGTAGCTACACCTTGTATCCTTTCTTTCCGTGAGCCGAGACTAATTCTGTTTCTGTTTAATATGTGCAGCTTGATGCGACGCAGGTTCGGCCGATGGTGCAGCACACCACGTTGATCTTGACAAGTCGCTATGTGGAGTACGGCTCCACCTTCGGCGACAACAGTGGTCGTCTTGCGATGTTCTTGAAGAACCACGGGAGCACTGAGCAACGCAAAGTGAAGGTCGAAAGCATCGACACCGCGGGAGAACCCGTGACTCACACCTACTTGCTGCTCGAGGACCTAATCGGGAAGGAGAAGTTTGGGGGCGACCTGGCGTCGTGCGTGGAGGCAGCATCTAAGTTCGCTGGGAGGACTGTGTTCTTCATTGAAGATCGCATGAAGAGTCTCAAGTCGTTGGACGGGGCCCGTCTGTTTCGGCAGGGACTGTCAGAACATTATAGCTTATGCTTTTGTGTAGGCTTTAGTGGGGTAGCCCATATGGGGTACAACCCAAATAGGGTTAGTACTTGTACCCAACTGTTTCATAGTTCATCCATTCTCGTTTCTTCTCATGGTATCATGGCAGGTTCCCTAACGGGAACGATTCCTAGGGCCCACCACTACGAAATTTTTTCCTTCCCGAAGCGCGCTCCGCTTAGGCCCGAGTCGCGCCTCGTGTGCTTTCCTTACCGTCGCGCCCTCGCTAGGCCACTCACGGCCCCGTCGTGTCGCCCTTAGCGGCCCCTCGCCGCCTCGTCGCGCTGCCCTAGCGGTCGAGTCGCGCCGCCCTAGCCGCCCTCACGGCCCCCTAGCGGCCTCTCGCGGCCCCGATCCGCCGCCCTTGCGGCCCCGATCCGCCGCCCTTCGCGGCCTGTCGCCGCTCTCCCCCATGCGGCCCCTCGCCGCCCTTTCACAAGCGGCCCCGTCGCCGCCCTTGCACGGCCCTGACGCCGCCCTCTCTGCGGCTCTGTCGGCGCCCTCTTCAGCGGCCCATCGCCGCCCTTCTCAGCGGCCCCGCCGTCTCCTTTCAGCGGCCCCGCCACTACCTCTGCAGCAGCCTCATCGCCGCCCTTTCAGCGGCCCCGCCGCCTCCTTTAAGTGGCCCCGTCGCCTCCTCTCGGCGGCCCCGCCGCCTCATTTAAGCAGCCCGGCCGCCTCCTCTCGGCGGCCCCGCTGCCTCCTTTAAGCGGCCCCGCCGCCTCCTCTCAGCGGCCCTGCCGCCTTCTCTCCGCGGCCCCGCCGCCTCCTCTCGGCGGCCCAGCCGCCTCCTCTCAGCGGCCCCGGACGCCGCCCTCTCAGCGGCCCTTCCGCCGCCTCCTTTGCGGCCCCGCCGAGCCGCCCAGTAGCAGAGCCGCCGAGCCACCCAGTAGCCGAGCCGCCCAGCCGCCCAGCAGCCGAGCCGCCCAGCCGCTCTGCCGCCGAGCCGCCCAGCAACCCAGCCGCCGAGCCGCCTAGCAGCCGAGCCGCCGAGCCGCCGAGCCGCCCAGCAGCCGAGCCGCCAAGCGCCCAGCTGCCGAGCCGCCTACCGCCTAGCTGCAGAGCCGCCGAGTCGCCCTGCAGCCGAGCCGACCGAGCCACCCTGTCCGGTAAGAGCAGCGCCTCTGTCACTGCACTGCCCTCACCCTACAGTTCGCGCTACTAGTCTACTGCTGTCATGGCTACCCCTAGTGTCCTCGCTTTTGACGCTGAGGGTCGGGCCATTGACTTTGACGTCTGGATAGATGACCTGCAGCTTTTCTTACAGTGCGATAAGGCGGACGGCCTCTCTCTCTTTGACCTCACCTCTAGTGCCTCTCCTGCCCCTACTGCTGATGCTGACGCCACTGTCCGCTCACAGTGGGCCACGCGCGATGCTGGTGCACGTCTTACTGTGCGTCGCCACCTGCCTGCCTCTGAGCGTGCGCACTTTAGTAAGTACAAGAGTGCTCAGACCTTGTACGACGCTGTAGTTGCACGCTACTCCTCCCCTCCCATTGCTGCACTGAGCCACCTCATGCTACCGTACCTCTTTCCTGACCTTGCTTGTTTTCCCACAGTTGCTGACCTCATTACGCACCTCAGCACTAGTCACACTCGCTACCGCGCTGCGCTTCCTACCGCGTGTCTGGTCTCCCCCGGTCTCTACCTCCCCTTCCTCCGGGGCCTGGCCCTACCTGCGTCCCCTGTGTCGAGGGGCGGCAGCGGGCTGCCCCTCACACCTCCCAGTTTCCACCAACAGAGGCCCGACTGCAGACGCTTCACATGGACGTGTGGGGCCCGGCCCGCGTCCGTGGTCAGGGTCACGAGCGCTACTTCCTGTTGGTGGTTGACGACTACTCGCGTTACACCACAGTCTTCCCCTTGCGCAGCAAGGGTGATGTTACTGCGGTGTTGATCGACTGGATCCGTGCAGCTCGTCTCAAGCTCAGGCAGAGCTTCGGCTCGGACTTTCCTTATCTGCGTCTGCACTCTGACAGAGACGGAGAGTTCTCCTCTGGCCTTCTGCAAGCCTACTGCCGTGCACGAGGCATCCGCCAGACCTTCACGCTTCCGGACTCTCCAGAGCAAAATGGGATTGCTGAGCGCCGCATTGGCATGGTCATGGACGTCGCCCGTACGTCCATGATGCATGCGGCTGCCCCCCATTTTCTGTGGCCATTTGCGGTTCGGTACGCGGCCCATCAGCTCAACCTTCACCCCAGGGTCTCCATGCCGGAGACCTCCCCAGCCTTGCTGCCTTGCTGTGGACGAGGAAGGTTGGCATTGCGTCTGCATTCCGTGTCTGGGGATCTCGGGCGTTTGTCCGCGACTTGTCTGCGGACAAGCTGTCCCCTCGTGCTGCGCCTTGCGTCGTCCTGGGTTTCCCCCTGACGCGCCAGGGTGGCAGTTCTACCACCCCACCTCTCGCCGTGTTCTGTCCTCCCCGGACGTCACGTTTGACGAGTCGGTCCCCTACTACCGCCTCTTCCCTTACCGCACTCCGTCCCTTCCCCCGCCGCCACTCTTCCTTGTCCCAGGTCCCCCTCCGGTAGACCCCCTCCCCCCTCAGGGTCTGTCCCCTTCAGGTGTGTCCCAAGTAGACGCAGTCGAGCCTGTCGAGGTCACTGGTGACTGTGGTGCTGCTGAGGGTGTTGAGCCTGGGGGTGCTGAGCCTGGGGGTTCTGAGCCTGGGGGTGCTAAGACTGGGGGTGCTGAGACTGGGGGTGCTCAAACTGGGGGTGCTAGGCCTGGGGGTGCTGAGCCTGGGGGTGCTGAGCCTAGGGGTGCTGAGCCTGGGGGTACTACGCCTGGGGGTGCTGAGCCTGGGGGTGCTACGCTTGGAGGTGCTGAGCCTGAGGGAGCTGGGCCTACTTGTGAGGCGTCCGGCGGTGCTGGGCCTGGAGGTTCTCCGAGTGCTTCATCTCCGCGGGAGCCACTCTCTCCACAACAGCTACGCGAGTGGTTTGCCCGGCGCTGGAGGCGTACAGCTGGAGCTAGAGGTTCTTCGGCTGCTGAGGGTGCTGGTGCCGCCGATACCGAAGGTGCTCGTACGGGAGGTACTGGAGCTGCTGGGCCGGCGGGTGCGTCTGGAGCTGGAGCTGCTGAGGGTGCTGGCGCTGAGGCTACTACTGTCAGTCCTGGCGGTAGTGCTGCTGGAGTTACCGGAGCTGGAGGTGCTGCTGGCACTGGTGCTGCCGCTGGGGGTGCTGGTGCTATCTTTGCTGTGTCTTGAGTCGCCGCGCGGCCTCAGCCCTACTTCGTTTCGCTCCTTCAGCACGTTCTTGGTCTCCCGTCTTCTACTGGTCCTCCTCCTCCCTTAGATTGTTCACGGCCTGTCCCGTCCCAGTTACAATTACAGCCCGCCTCCCCACTACCTGCTCCTTCTCCCTACACTGGTCCTAGTGGAGGTCTTGCTGAGCGTCGTGAGCTTGCGTCTCGCCCTGCATCGCCTTTCCGTCCTGCTCGCGCTAGTGGTCGTAGTTCGCGTGAGCGTCCTCCTCTTGTCCCTGGCACGCACCGGATGTCTCTGCGTCCGTCCACTGCTCCTCTGCGTGCCCCGTTGCCTTCTCCTTGTGAGTCCTCTCTTCCTATTCTTGCCAACACGGAGTCGGACTCTCTTCGTGCTGCCACTCCTACTATCACGCGTCTGCTTGCTACTGTCGTCACTAACCCTTCTTTTGAGTCCACTGCTGCGTCTGCCCTAGTTTCTAAGCTCGTCGACTTTGCCGCTCGCTGACGTCTAGACTACGCTGCAAGTCTTGTCGCTAAGACTGAGTCTGTCGGTCCTCCGTCTGTCGGGGGTGAGTGTGCCCTTGGCACGGACGTCCTTCAGGACAGGCAGGAGGAGTTCTAGTGTCTGGCTGCTGCTTCACCTCATCTCGTGTCCGTAGTGCTTACCCCTGAGGAAGACCCGGATGCACTTGACATCCCGACTCCGCGCTTTTACGCGGAGGCGATAGAGGGTCCCTACTCCTCTCAGTGGCAGGCAGCTATGGACGCAGAGATGGCTTCCTGGAAGTCCACAGGCACCTACGCTGACGAGGTTCCCCCACTTGGGGCGAACATCGTCAGTGGCATGTGGATTTTCAGGGTGAAGCGGCCGCCGGGTTCCCCACTTGTCTTCAAGGCGCGGTACGTGGCTCGTGGCTTCAGTCAGCGGCAGGGAGTTGACTACTTTCAGACCTTCTCTCCCACCCTGAAGATGACCACTCTTTGGGTGCTGCTGCAAATAGCCGCTCAGCGCGATTACAAGCTTCACTCTCTTGACTTCAGCACTGCTTTCTTGCAAGGTAGCCTGCACGAGGAGATCTGGCTGCGCCGCCCACCTGGCTTCACTGGGACTTTTCCTCCTGGCACCCAGTGGAGCCTCCGACGGCCAGTCTACGGTCTCCGCCAGGCACCGCGCGAGTGGCACGACACACTAACGACTACGCTTGCGGCTCTTGGGTTTGCTCCCTCTACTGCTGACCCGTCGTTGTTTCTGCGCACCGACACTTCTTTGCCGCCGTTCTACATCCTCGTGTACGTCGACGACTTGGTCTTTGCCACAGCTGACACTGCTGGACTCGCCCACGTGAAGTCCGAGCTGCAAAAGAGACACACGTGCACAGACCTGGGTGAACTGCGCAACTACCTTGGCTTGCAGATCACCCGGGATAGAGCACGCCGCACCATTACCCTGACTCAGTCACACATGGTGCAGCAGGTCCTTCAGCGCTTCGGCTTCACGTACTCCTCGCCTCAGGCCACTCCTCTGCCTCCTCGCCACTCGCTCTCAGCTCTGCCTTCGGACGAGTTCGTAGAGTCGAGTGGCCCGTACCCAGAGCTTGTTGGCTGCCTCATGTACCAGATGACCTGCACTCGACCTGACCTTGCATACCCTCTTTGCATTCTCGCACGCTATGTTGCTCCTGGGAGACACAGACCGGAGCACATGGCTGCAGCGAAGAGGGTGTTGCGCTACTTGTGCAGTACGTCAGGCATGGGGCTTGTGCTTGGAGGGCGGAGTCCAGTGGTCCTCACTGGACACGCAGACGCTTCTTGGGCGGACGACCAGGCTACGCAGCAGTCGTCACAGGGTTACACCTTCAGCCTTGGTTTCGGCTCTATTTCGTGGTGGGCTACCCGCTCGTCTTCTGTTCTCGGCTCCAGTTGTGAGGCTGAGATCTACGCCGGGGCCATGGCTGCACAGGAGCTTTGCTGGCTCACCTACCTGCTGTCTGACCTCGGAGAGCCGCCTCGTTCTCCTCCAGTGCTGTACGTAGACAACAAGGCCATGCTGGCCTTGTGTTGAGAGCAGAGGCTGGAGCACAGAACGAAGCACATTGCTCTTCGCTACTTCCTTGCTCGTGAGCTGTAGAAGCGTGGTCAGCTGTGTCTTGCGTACATGGCCTCTGAGGCCAGCACTGCTGATATCTTCACCAAGGCACTTGCGCCTTGTGATCATCAGCGCTTCTGTACTCAGCTTGGTCTTGTGCGTGTCTTACCTCACTTGCTCACCTCTTGACCTTGCTTGTACTGTTACATATATATACCTGCTCTTGCGTGTTTAGCTTTCTATAGATATATGTAGTCCTACATGTGAACTGGCCTTGTGGCCTTTGAACTCGTGCTCGGAATGTGTGGTGACTTTGTGATCCACCCTGAGCTTGCTTTGTTTTGCTTTGCTGGAATGGTCTTGTGAGCGCTTGTTCTCGCCCACTTTGCCTATGGGGGTGTGTCAGAACATTATAGCTTATGCTTTTGTGTAGGTTGTAGTGGGGTAGCCCATATGGGGTACAACCCAATTAGGGTTAGTAGTTGTACCCAAATGTTTCATAGTTCATCCATTCTCGTTTCTTCTCAGGGACGGTACCCTCGTTCGCGCGCTAAGAGAGCGTGTCGCTCTCCTGAATGGCTCGAGTCGCTGCGCAACCTGTTCAAGAAGAAGCCCAACCATCCAGACACCCTCCACGGTAAGCAGTTTGTTTTTAAACTTGCATTTTTACTTGTTCCGTTATTACTGCCGTGTCAAGAATCGACTCTTTGCAATTATATCTGATGTCCCACACCCTACCCTACCCCTCACCTTCAGGTGTTGACTGGGGCAAAGCCGCCAAGGAGCTCACCAGCTTCACGACAATCCTCTCCCATCACCACGAAGACTTGTCCTTCCACGACAGCCTGTTGCAGATGCTCTCAACGCCGGAATGGGAGTCAGCCTATCCGAACCTCGGCCGCCTGTGGATAGCTGTTGCTGTGCTACCACTCAGCACTGTTGAGTGTGAGCGTGGCTTCAGCCGCCTGAACATCATCAAAAGCTGGGTGCGGGGCAGCTTGTGCGACACGACACCGGGCGACCTGATGACGGTGTCCCTTTTGGATTATGAGCTGAACACAGAGGAGCTTGTGGATAGGTGGTATGCCAGCAAGAAGAGGCGGCCAGCTCGAGAGGTGGTCATGGCTGAAGGATCACGCCCGGTGAAGCGACGGCGGTCCCATCACCTGAAGAAGCGCGCTGCAGCAGCAGCAGCAGCAGCAGAAGCAGCTACACGCACACGGAAAGAGGCAGAAGAGGCTGCATCAAAGGAGAGAGAGAGGGCTGCAGAAGA